TCACATTTTTGCTTCATCAATCAAATTCTTGAATATAAACATTGTTTTCTTCCCAATCAAAAAGATATGCCAGCTTCTCGTCTGCTTTTCTTCTATGCAGGGTAATAAAAAAGACACTTCCCACACAAGGAATTTCCCTCCCACCACCCATCCCATACACACACACACACACACACACACCCACTGAGCCCACAGACCCCCAGCCTCTTCCCTCATAAGACATCAACTACACATTTCCCTAAAATTTGGCTTCAACATGTGTTTAAACTACGGTATTCTACAGCCTTTTTTTCCAGCCACAAATTCTTAATTTTAAATACAGTTGTCCTTTCAGCAAGCCTCCGTTTACTTTCCTTGTTTAATTCATCATTAAAGTCTGTGTTACTCACAAAAACACAAACACCGGAATTGTTAGTAAGTTTCCTTTTTTAAATCAATCCAGCTAAGTTTTTTATCCACAAAAATCTGCTTTAATCAAGCATCCCATTATTCAGCCCTCAGCTCAGTTCAACATTACCACCAACCAAGCCCTCCTGGAGGTCCATTTCCTCTGCACAGCCCCAGCTTCGTCTGGCCGGTTTATCATCCGCCTCGGCCTGTAAGCCAGCCTGCTACAGCGTCCCGTGCCACAACGCATCCCCCAGGATCTCAACCTGTCAGCCAGCAGGGTGCTCTGTCTTCCATCTGCGCGTCTCCTCAGCTCCCGGCTCTCTCACCTCGCCAGCAAAGTCATACTGATGCGAATGGAGAGACAGAAGGGGTAAGCTTAAAAAATATTTTATCTAAGCCATTGTGATGAATATACGTCGGACATATATAAAAAAAATAATAACTTTATTTATTTATTTTTTTTTTTTTTTTCGCAGACACATCCATTCTAAATGAAAGATCTGATCAGCCAGCTTGTAGTTCAACACCAACTGAAGCCAGTGCAAAGAAAAAATAAAAGAAATTAATTCTTAGTTTTAATATCATATAATCATATATATTTTTCTCTGTTAGACTCTCAGCCTCTCGTACAAGGAAGGTATTGAAAGTCCGGCGTTCTTCAAAACGGAGAAAAGAAAGTAAATAGCCTTTTTAATTTAGTTAGTTGTTAGGATTTTTATTTTTAAGTCGGTCTTACTAAAGTGCGTTGTTTTTTTTTCTTCAGTAGGAAAACGAAGGAAACGCTCCGCCATCGTTTCTGCAGCGCCGCTGGTCCAACACATTGCGCAAGGGGACGCGGTCATCCAGGATATAGCAGAAGCAGGAAGTGCTGTAGTCCAAGATATAGTGGAAGCAGGAAGTGGCGGTGAAGTTGTAGTCCAGGAAACTGGAAGCGGCGGAGAAGATCAGTAGACCGGAATATGTGCTACATAATGAGGAACATTCTTGGATGAAAAAAGTCTAGTGAATAAACATGTCTGACCCGCATTTATCTCAGTCAAACACATCTCCGAATGTTTCTCCTTCTAGTGAAAAT